GTGAAGCTTGCAGCTTCTGAACACCTAAAATAAAGGGCAGGGGGGAGGGCCAAAAACATACCCTGAATTCAAATAAAGAAATCTGAGTAACAAAGCAGACGCAGCTAGATGCTTGCCTGAGGGGAAGCAGCAGCCCACAGATGCACCTGCAGAATCTAATGTGGCTTCTGTCACCAGAGGATTACCAATGGTCTAGGTGTAGCCGCTGTTTCCCCGCTGTCTCTGTGTCTCCATTCATCTGGATCAGTCCTACAACTTTACTTTGACTTCGTGCTCTGACAACTTTCCTGGCGGTTGTACTAACAGCAAATACGTTGTGTTTTCAGGAGCTAGCCAGGATTGCGAGGCTGTCTATGTGTAAGTCGTTCTTTCTCTAATGTACCAGTGCATCCATTTAATCCTTTAGCCCAATAGTCCTCAACCTTCTTAGACTCAGATCACCCTGGTTAGACTCGAGGCATCCCTTGGAGAATGCCAGCGCTTATTTTTTGACTACTGAAACGCAAAATAGCAATTTTTCTGTTATAAAGACCTCAGAAAGAGTACAACAGGTCAGAATGTTTTTAAGAGTATGGATGCCTAGATGAAGTCTCTGGGGTTATCTAGTGAATCACGTTTGCCCACCCAACACTGCTAACGTTGCATGGCACCCTGTGGCATCCTTGAAAGGATCTCCAGGAACCCCAAGGCACTCTGGGAATCACTGCTTTTGCCTTTAATCCATCTTAAAAGGAAAATTAAACTCTATTAGTTTGGGTTCTGGAGAACATAGCTGCAGTTTATTATTGAGACTTATGTTTAGCTCTCTTTAATTTCACAGCCTCAGTAACACTTGACAAGGGATCACAAAACACCGTGAGCCACTATTTCCATCATGATCAGTAACTTTCAGTTGCGGTCCCCCTCAGCCTGGTGCAACTACTGCTTAGAACAGGAAGAAAAGTGTTTTCCCCAAATGCTGCTGACTTTATCATAAATATAATATGGGAAGGCAGTCACTCGGCATCAATTGGCATATTCCAAGGTGTTCCAAGCCCACCCTCTGTTGTCATGCAAAGCTCATGTTGATAAGGTTTCTACTGAATCGTGTCCACCTTCTGCGCAGCTCTTGCCTAACTGTGAAGCTGCACATTTTTGCAGGTCTTCAGGTCTTTGAAGACTCGACAAATAAAATAGGCTTGTTTTGTAGATGTTGCTGGCCGAATAGCCAACTGCTTGAACTGTGCAAAACACACAGGAAACCAAATGCTTTCCTTTTGGTCTCGAAGATGGTTAGATGGCCCCATTGCTGTACAGTCAGAGTGTCTGCATACTGCATGAAGCATAAAAGTGGACCGTGCGACTTACCAATACAGGTCACATACTTGTGGTATAAAGGAGACAATTGTTTCCTTACAAAAGAAGGGGATGGGGGAGTGCAAAGAATGCTTAGAAATCAGTTTGCACTGCATCTCTAGTAAGGCTGGGAATTGACCTACCCAGCCATAGCATTGTAATGCCCAGAGATGAGCAGCAATTAGAAAAGGTCCTGGTATATTCGGACCTGGAAAACATACTCAAAGGCCTTTCCTTTGTGAATATATGGCCATGGGGCTGCTGAGAAACTGGGGTCACATGTGAATTAGATGTGTGGGTTTTTGCCCCAGCACCATCTAGGTCGGGAAGTACCTAATAGATGGATGCTTTATCTTTTGCAGTGACCCCATAGCTACAGATTACTACAACTGTGGGAAGTACTTAAGACCACCAAATGGTAAGCTTGCAAGACGGAATGGAATAGCAATTGACTCGATAGACTTGGGGAAGATAAAGCAATCCAAGTGTTACCACCAAGCCTGTCTTGTGGGATGTAGGGGAACCTGTAAGCAGTTTCCCCCCCCGCTTTTTTTTTAAGTCTTTTGTTACAACATGATTTGACAAACTCGGGGCTAACAGGCATGTAACATGCAGCAGGCTCTGGGCATTAAGGAGTTAAAGAGCTGTGTAAACAGGGGGAAACACAAAAGAACAAGAGTGCTACAGAGCAGCAAAACCACTGAAAAGTGGCGCAGGGTGGGACCGTGCTCATGTGACGCATGCTTTTGTGCAAATAAAGCTAATAAATCAGCTCAAGCCTGGCCGGGCTGCAGGCCCATGGTAAAGTGGTTGCTGAATCCCCACGTACTCCAGAGCCAAAGGCATGATCATTCAGAAGTGGCATCTTCTCTGACGAACAGCAGTAGACTCGAGATCCTGTCTCGGTGGGCTGTGTGCGTGGTGGATCCCAGCCATGCTGGGGAAGCTGCTGCTTCTGGTCCCACGGTATTACCCAGCCCCTGCCCTGTTGCATTGCCTGATGTGCAGCCGAGTTGCCGGAGGCAGCAGGCTGTCCTAGGAAAAGTATATGAAGCATCATGGATCTTGCTTGCGTGATGACCCCTTGGTTTTTCAAACCATATGATCTCTCCATTGCTTTGCTCTAGGCCCAGGAGAGTGTATTCACTTCGGCCCTAGTCCCACACAGATGCACTAGTGCTTATTTCTACCCCGTAAGCATTCCTGTGTAATGTGTGCAGTGAAACCTGTGAGTAAGTGTTTGCTGAACTTGGGCTGCCAGCTCTGGCATTCCCTTTGTCAGTGGCTTCTACCCGTGTGACCCCCCCCCCGCACCCCCACTTGCTATTATTAAGTAGCACCCCGTGATGGTAAAGGAACAAGTGAGGCAGCAAGACCAGAAGTTGTGTCTAGAGATGTCAGCTTAATGGGGCTCTGTGTAGAAGCAGGGGCTGGGCTTGAGGATCCCCTTGCAAGACTGTCAGCCCTTTAGGGTAAAGACTGCCTCTTTGCTTGCACCATGATGAAAACAGTCACTATAATAACAGTTAGGGTCTCCTATACATGTTCCATTTCCAATGTACTTTTTTACCAAATTAAAGCCTTGGCTGTGGGAGAGTTGAATAAACCATGACAGAAGGATGTACTTAAAACGCTAGAAATGTGAAAAAGGAGTTAACTGGCTATGAGTTGTCTGTCAGCAAAAGGAGGATGCGGTGTGGAGACCTGTAAACTGTTTTATTCTTGACCTATTTATATTGTGGTTTTGCCTCATGGGAGTTCAGGATCTCATTGGACTAGGTCAGCACCTAGTGAACCAGGGAACTGGGAGTCATGACACTGTTTGGAGGTCATAGCATTTGAAAGTGGGATTCTGGGTCCACAGGATGTTCGGTTATCACAAATGGGCTCAGGACAGAAGTTGGATTGTGAGCCTGGAAGTGGGGTCATCACCCCCCCCCCCCCCCCC